TTAAGGACAGGTACTAGGGAGCTAATGAAGGTTTTTGAACTTTGGGGTGAGGTATCGATTATACTTACCCGGGGGTGGGGGGTGGGGTGTTAGGTAAACTTGAATGAGGAAAGGCTAGGGCAAAACCAGAAGGTGTCAGGTTGGGATAGATCCTGTAGGGGATGACTATAGGTAAGTTAATTTATTTTTTAGTGCCTCAGTGCCTTCACTTGTAAAATGGGAATGATAATATTAGTGCAGGTTTGTGAGCATCATGTGAAGTCCTGGAAAGTGCTGACACAGTGCCGCTGGAGGCCACAGATGTCCGTCCAGAGCGGTGGGCTGGAAGGCCTGTACTGTTGGCATGCGGAATCAGTCAGTGTTGTACGTAACAAATTTCTCTGGTGGTTACAAGTTTCAAAAAAGTACACTACTGGGCACTAGTGGCTCACTTCTGTAATCCTAGCTACTCAGAAGGCTGAGATCTGAGGAACAAGGTTTAGTCAGCCTGGACAGAAAAGTTCTTGATATTCTTATATTCAATTAATCACCAATTAATCATCAAGTGATAGAATGCCAGCTTTGAGCAAAAATCCTAAAGATGAGTCCCTAGGCCCTGAGTTAAAGCTCCAATACTGGCATCCACCCCCTCCTTCCCCCAAAAAGTACACATACCTTGGTTACCTATCTGCTTTTTGTTTTTTTTATTTTTGTTGAATATTGTCAGAATCTTTCTTTCATTGGTGGGTGACCATCTAACATGTTTTTCTTATGCTTTTGGCATGCTTGATTATTGATTATTCTCTCATTGATGAGAAGCATTTGAAATTTGAGTGTTTATTATAACTTTCGTTACTACTGTAATAAAATGATAGTGCAAATCCCCCATGAAACCAAGGTGAACTATAAACATATGAGGTTATTGTGAGGAAAAGTGGTAAAATAAGAAAGGAAAGAGTCCCCCTGTGGTGCCAAAACATGGTCAAGAAGCAGGAAGGGAGACAACCTCAAGCAGAAAGGGCTGAGCATGTGCCAGGCCCGGCTGTATAGCAATCCTGTCCTGCAAGGATGAACTCAGTCCACGAACCCAGCATCAGTCTCTAATTCCCTTGAATTAGATTCCATTTCTACTGCTTTGTTGTTGCCACACTGGTGAACAAGCTTCCAGCCTACGAACCTTTGGGGTCCACACACCCACTTTCCTATTTGTCTCACTAGATTCCTGCCAAAGAATTTTTACCTTGTGTTCTTCCGACTTTTGCATACCAGATGTCTCTCTTATGTGTCATTGAAATAGCACACCCTGAGGTTCTGCTGAAACAAAGCAAGAATTTTTGAAAAGAAATGTGATGCCAGATAAAGTCAGACAAAAGTCCGGCTTGGTATGTGTGAAGCTTACTTGGTTCAGCTGTTTAAATGTGCTGGTTTGTATCTGAGTGCCTTGCTGTTTCTTTGTGTAGTGTCTAGCCTTACTTATCTTGATGAAGCCAGAAAAATAATTTCATCAAGTTACCAGAATGATACCATGGAACTAGAATGAATACCATTTTAATTGTGAGTGCCTTCTTCCATTCGGCCACACCCAAATTAAGACTTGGAGAATACTAATACTTAGTTAGAATGATTTTTTAGGGAGAATAGAGACACAACATTCTGCACTTTGTAGATCTTTTACATGTCCATACAATTTGAAGGAATTAATGACATTTGACATCAAGTGAGTGTTCCTGATTAAAGCCTCAATCATAAAATATATTAAAGGAAGGGTATTTCCACTGCCAGCAGAATGTTTGTAGTTAAATGTTTTGATGTGTGTTGGAGATTTTCTGCAAGAGTAGAACAAGTCAACCAGCTAACTTGTCAGACTCTAGAACATTTTATCTGGACTCTATCCAGTTAGAAAAGGGAAATAATTGAAATCATTTGCCTCTCAGTCTGTATAAAGTGATTTAAGAACATTAAAGACGACAGAGCATGATAGAGAGCAGAAAACTGTGTTCAATATGCTGTATATATATGAAAAGCCCGTGTCTAAAGTGACTGAAAATCTAAAACTTTTTGAGAGTTGATATGACACTATAAATGGAAAAGTATGGCCAGGCACTGGTAACTCTTCACTTGTAATCTGAGCTCACCAGGAGTTTGAGATCTGAGGATCTTAGTTTGAAGCCAACCTAGGTAGCAAAGTCTGTGAGACTCTTTTTTTTTTCCAATTAATTACCAGAAAGCTCAAAGTGGAGCTGTATCTCAAGTGGTAGAGTATTAGTTTTGAACATAGAAGCTCAGAGACCAATGCCTGGGCTCTGAATTCAAGCCCCAGGACTGGCACACACACGCAAAAAGAACAATATTATTAATATACCACATAAAACTACCTTCATGCTGTGTGAATAAAGCAAGTGTAAAAAAATTTTTTTTTTTTGGGTCCAGTCGTGAGGCCTGAACTCTGGGCCTGGGCGCTGTCCCTCAGCTCTTTAGCTCAAGGCTAGCGCTCTACTACTTGAGCCACAGCGCCACTTCCGGCTTTTTTCTTTTTGCTTATGTGGTACTGAGGAATCGAACCCAGGGCCTCAGGCATGCAAGGCAAGCGCTCTACCACTGAGCCACCTTCCCAGCCCAAATGTAAAAATGTTTGTGTTTAGACTTGCCTCCCATCCTCCATATAGTTCATTGTATATATGCAAACATTTCAAAAGCCAAAAAAGCTCCAGACTCTCTGGCACCAAGTATTTCAGGTGAGAATTTGCCACCTCACTCTCAAGACCTGTCATAGACTGGGGTGACTGACCTAGCTCCCTTCCTTATAGCTCATCATCTCTTCACTTCTATCCCGCTTTCCCCTTCACATCCACATCCTAGACCTTGACATCTCCTGGAACAATTTTTCCCATGGTGCACCTGTAGCTTAGTCATCCCTCTCCAACCATATCCTTTTATCCTTTTACCCACCCCTCTTGGCCTTTTCAAAGACTCGTCTGTGGATGCCTTGCTTGACTCTCTCCCTTTCTCATCTTCTCACCTTCTCATCATCCTGGCCACACCTCAGGAAGGCCTTTTTAACACTATTGTCCATTCCTTCTGTTCCCACTGTTTATCTGGCACACTCACCTAGAAAAGCTGCACCCGATAGCCACCCAACTGTCTCATTCTCCACACACATTTGGGCTATAGGAGAAAACACCACAGCTTTTCAGCTTCCCAAAGGAAGTTCATAACTTCACACTCTGCTGGCCTCTTCACTGTCCCAGGAGGTTCTTTCTTGATTTCTCAGCTAATTTCTCTATTTTCTGTTTTTGTCTCCATTTCTCCCATACAGGTCTTTGTGTATATTGCTTGCCTACTCACCTTAGCCACCTCTATTTATACTTTTCCATGGTTCACCATTGTCCTAATAACACAACCCAGAGTCTTTGGTTAGATCTGCAAGGCTCACCCTGGCCTCCCAGCCTCCTGATACTCCTCTCCCTCTCGACCACTATGTTCTCACTAGTTTCAACTACACCAAATTTCTGGTGAGTCCAGGCTTTCTCATTTCTAATGTAGGACTTTTTTCCTTTTCCTTTTTTGCTGGTAAGGAGGCTTGGACTCAAGGCTTTATACTTTTGCACTCTTGTTTGGCTTTTTGGCTCAAGGTCAGTACTCTATCAAATGAGCTATATCTCTACTTTTTGCTAGCTAATTAGAGATAGAGGCCCACAGACTTTCCTGCCCAGGCTGGCTTTGAACTTTGATCCTCCTCTGCCTCCTCAGTAGTTAGGATTACAGACATGAGCCACTGGCACCCAACTACAAAGGACTTTTTTGGCTCCTGACTCACACATTTTCCCTCTGCTCTGATTTTGTCTTTGTCTCCTGTCCCTCTTAGCACAGATATCTAAATGGAACATCTCAGATACTCCAGTATCTCAATCTTTTAGAGCATTGCCTGAATACTTCTAGACTCAAGCATTCCAAATAAAAGTTATTGTATTATGTATTGAAGAACATTTTCAAACTCCTTGCCCTCTCCTGTCCCTTTACTAGAGAATAAATACAGTGCTACTTCCTTGCCCACACTTCCCCTATATTGGCATCTTTCTTCCTGTATTTTTTATTTGTCCGCTTCTCAGTAGATTTCTAGTTTGTCAACAAACTATTTTATTTATTGTTGTCTGCCTTGTGGTTAGAAATAGGTCTTAATGCACTATATCTATTTGGCAAGTTTTTTGAGTGTATTAATGAATTGACCAGTTATTAATAAAGTGAATAGTGAGCAATAACTGCAACAGTGCCAGCTAACATTTTTATTGAGAATTTACCTTGCACCACAGTTTGTGCTAGTAACCTTACAGGCATTGCCCTCTTTCTCTTCCCAATTACCCTAGGGGATGAAGTCTTCTATTTTGTCAGTTCTATGAATAATAACACTTTGGAATGGTAGGCTGTGTTTTAGATCACTGCTCTGAATGTGTTGGCAGGGGCTTTGTTAGCTTCTGAGGAGGAGAAGGATAGAAGTTGGGAGAAGATGGATTGAGCTTCAGCCCTAGAAGAATTGTAGCCGAGGAGAAAAGACACTAAAAACAACCATCATTTGAATATAAAAATGATCACATTCTTGATGGACATTTATACCGGGTACTCTTAACTATTCTGTACTTGAATTCTGGAAGATATATAATATATATCTTAACATAATATTATATCATAAACATAATTCAGTAAGTAGACAATACCATTTTCTAGCAAAGTCTTACATTATGAAACAACTAAGCAATGTCAAGATGAGTTTTTTTAAAGACCTTTAGTAGTAACAATAAAGAAATTAAATACAGAGGTTTAGTATTATATATTATATATATTTTAGTATTTACATGTAGAGGTTCAGTATCATATTTAGTGCTCATATAATGGAATTATGTTTGCTAAAATTGAAGTGAATCCCATCTTTGTTAACAACAACAAAAGTCAATGATGAAATAAAATTCAATGTGCTATTCCAAACACTTGATTTTTGAAATCTGTTGTTTTTGTTCATCTTTTAGGAGAATCATGAAAAAAGTCTCCATGGAGCCATCTGAGCGCCTGGCCAGCCTCCAGGCTCTGTGGGACAGCCAGACCGTGGCAGAGCAGGGCCCCTGTGGTGAGCATGCATTTTAAAACCAAAATATAAGCGGCTGGATGGATGTCCACCTGCCAGGAAGTTAAGTCTATTCCTGGTTTGCTACTGTGAAGGTACAGTTAGTTTTAAGGTGTAATTAGTACCACACAGTCTTTAGATTGGTGGACGAACATCCTATATTTAAGCTGTATTGCATCCTGCTATGTGCTTACCATAGAAAAAGGGGGAAGAATCTTTGCTGGTTTTCCAAAGGAAAGGATACTCAGCATTGTCAACATTGGTCAGATTTAACCCTTAGAGGTTTTTATTTAAAATAATTTTGGTGAAGACCTGTCAACATCACAGCATTTCTGTTTTGTACTTCAGGTGGATTTTCTCAGATGTATGCCTGTGTTTGTGACTGGCTTGGATTCTCATACAAGGAAGAAGTACAATGGGTGAGTGGACCCGTGTACATATGTGTACATACCTGGAGAATATTTTCATGTTTGCTTTCTCTCTCTTTCTGCCCCACTCCTTTCCACTCTCCCTCTTCCTCCCTACCCATTTTACATTTTTTTTTTGTTTTTGTTAAAACCAACCTTCCTTAGATTGCATAAGAAATCTGCCTCCGTAATGATCTGATTATCTGCATTTGTCTTATTTTCCTGATCACATACATGGATTAGTGACATTGATGACTTCTATTTCACACAGGATGTGGATACGATTTATCTAACACAAGACACCAGGGAATTGAATTTGCAGGATTTCAGTCATCTTGATCACAGGTAAGCCACTTCTTATTTTCTTTGCTTTTTTTCTACTCTCAAGTCTTGTTTTCAGAGCTGCAGGTCTGTGTGGGCACTGAGGGATATGCATGGTCTCCAGAGAAGCTTTGTAACAGAGGAATCAGGAGAATTTCCAAATCTCTAGGTTTGCCTTTCAAGTAATCATTTCAAATATGTTTAGCACCACAGATGGCTTGTGGAGGTTCATAAATATGCCCCAAATCAGAGTTCTTATTCAGGAAATGTCGAGATTTACCATGGAAGTAGTATAATTTTTAAGTTCCAATACCACTTGTAAAATTACTTAACCTCTCTTTTGTTGTTGTTTTTGTTTGTTTTTTGGTGCCAGTACTGGGGCTTGAACTCAAGTTCAAGAGAGATGTCCACTTTTTGTTCTTAAGGCTAGCGCTCTACCACTTGAGCCACAATGCCACTTAATTTTTCTATGTAAAACTAGTGATAGTTTATCTAATCACCATGTATAACATTATTTTTACAATAAAATTTTAGGTTGACAGTCTAACATGACTTTTAGTGCACAGTTGCTTTATGAATTGGAGATTGCTTGGGTATTTATGCATACACTGGTGAAAATCAATTTGCCAGTAAATCCATTGTGTTATTGAAAATAAAACCATGAAACCTGGCACTAGTTACTTTAGAGAGTTTTGTTTGTTTGTTTTTAGGTTTTATGATCTTGACTTGAATAGCTTTAAGCCTTCCGACTTGTATTATTCAAGTCCCATAGAAACCTTGCCTTTGAATTTACCTTCTGTGAGCAAGACAATCAAATTTACTGGCTCTCAAAGTCCAGAGTTGCTGCTACCCTTTCCAAAATGTCCATTCTACCTACCTCTATCTTATCACCTTTTTATATGTTGCTACTTGTTTTAGGGGGGCACACCAGACCCCCTGGTGTGATGCATTGCATCTCAATAACTCTTCTGGCTGGTTAGAATTAAGAGAAATCAAAGACTACAGCTGAATCTTACATAAGCTATTTGGACAACTGAGATATCACAGAGAATTGGTACTGCTGGTAGTTCTTGCCACCACCAGAATTTTACCCTGAAAAATGGCATTTGAAATGAGTTTTTACACCTACCTGATTGGAAGTGCCAAGTGGTGTGGGGTCCCTGGAGAACTCTAGCCAGATGAATTGGATGAGGAAAGGAAGCACGGAGTGGCTCACCTTTTCTTCTTCCAGCCTGGGTCCATGGTGGATGGTGAAGCAAGTTGTCCTTTGTTGGGTTGTGGCTGATGAGCTTCAAGTCAGATACTCAAGGTTGGATTTGTCCCTTTTCTGGGTGCAGGCAACTTTATCATGCTTAGAGTTATTCTCCTTTTTTTTTTTGTTATGAGAGGGAATTTCTTACTGTCACATTTAGACAAGATGTTTCCTGTGTAGCTCATAAAAACCTGAACTGAAAAAGAAAAAGGGAAATATTTTGCTTTGTAAATATTTTCCAATAAAACAAATTGCCTATGAAATAAGATAAGAACATTTGGACCTCCTGTGTTAGGTCTTAATAGTTTTGCTCCCAGGATCCTTTACGTTCTTCAGAATGATTCTCTGTTGTTAAATAGGTCATATCTGGTATTAGTTAACATATTAGAAACTAAAACTCAAATTGGAAATACTTATTTGTGGCTTTTAAAACATCACAAAGGGGGACTGGGAAGGTGGCTCAGTGGTAGAGCGCTTGCCTTGCATGCATGAGGCCCTGGGTTCGATTCCTCAGCACCACATAAGCAAAAAAAAAAAAAAAAGAAAGAAAAAAAAAACATCACTAAGGGGCTAGAGATGTAGCTTATTAGTAACATACTTGTCCAGCATGTAGAAGGACTTGAGTTCATGCCACAGCATCAGGTTTTATTTGTTATTGGTGATGGTGGTTCCTTCCTCCATCCGCACCCTCTGCCCCCCACTATTACTGGGGCTCTCCCTTAGCTTTTTCACTCAAGACTAGTGTACTACTACTTGAGTCACACCTCCAATTCTGGCTTTTTGTTGGTTAATTGGAGATAAAAGTTTCATGGATTTATTTGCCTGAGCTGGGTTCAAAACTTGATCCTTAGATCTCAGTCTCCTAAATAACTAGTTTACAGATGGCTTTTTTCTTTTTCTTTTAAAATTAAGGAATAGGAAAACATTACATGCTTACACAGATGTTATTTGTTGCAAAAAGAAGTTTTCTCAAACCCAAACATTTGCTTGAAAGATGTAATTTTATTGCTTGCAAAAATGTCCCTATCAAGTGATTTCTTCAGCATGACTTGTTTTGCTTTGGAGAGACTGTGTGCCAATCTCTGATCTGAACAACCATATTTTGTCTTTTATTTCACAACATGCCCTGTTGTTTCTGCTTATGGCTTTAACTAGCTTGTAAAACTTTCTATTGAATAGTCAGTAGTCACTTTGATATCTGGAAAGCATTTTGTGTGTGTATGTCCTCAATTTGTTATACAGACTTCATATACTAGATTTCATAAAATGAATAGCCTGCACTGTGCCATCAACGCTGTTCCAGAAGGACACTGACATTTGTTTGGAAACAAAGTGAGCATGTGGCCATGAAGTATACCACCACAGTTTGGTGTCTGTCTTGGTTTGGACTTAGCTGTTTTCCCTGGCATTGCATTTATACCATCTATGCCAATGGTCGTGTAGCAAAGAGGACAGATTTGTTCTGGTACTGTGTAAACCATTTTGAACTTGGGAACCTCTTGAATGGATCTCAGGTTCCCCTAGGAGGGCATGGACTGTACTTGGACAACATCTGATCTACAGGAATAAAGGCACTGCAGGTCAGCTTTAAGTGGCTTTTACATTTAGTTTGCTTGTTGTACCCATTATGATTCTATTTTGTTAAGAGGTAATGTATACCATCAGTGCTAAGTTTTCCTGCTAATTCATTGAGCTTCATTTGGTTATTGATCAGTAAATGATAACTAAAGAAGCCACTAAATATACTAAATATATAGCTACTATCTAAAAATCAAGAAGCTTTGTCAAAACTTTCCTGCGTTTTCCTGTAAGTGAATTCACTGATTTTATGGTTGAAGAAACTGTGTTTCTCTATAATCACTGAGCTAATGGGACAGACAAAAATAATCTACTTTTTTAAGGATAGTTTGATTTAAGGATGTTTTGACGTTACAGTGGTCTGAAAACAATATTCAGTAGGAACCTTGTTTAAAGTTTGATTTTTGATCTCCTAGGTTAGCAGTATGTGGGGTGAGATGCTCTGTGGTTTGCTTGTTTTCCTCTGTGTTACTGGGGATTGAACTCAGCGTCCTGTATATACTAAGCACATGCTTTACCATTGAGCTATACCCCTGACCCCCTACACTGAGCAATGCATCATAACTCCTTGTCAACCAGGAGATAATGAGGGGAAACATCAAATAATCCTATAGTGTATTGTACTGTTAAAGTCTGATGTTTGGTAGATTAGGTAGGTAAAATTGACTTACAGTATTTTCAACTGGCAATGGACTTCTTAGGAAGTACCCCTTGAGGAACATCTGTATTAACTCCACCATAGCAACTTGAAAGCAACCCTAGACAATATTATAAATAAAGGTAGCAATAAAACTGTATTTACACAAATAAGTCCTATGAGCTATAATTTGCTGGTCTTTACTCTAATTCAGGGGCCTGCCTTCCATCTATCTATTCATCAGTCAGTAGTGAATATAGGGCCAGACAGCCTGGTTTTGTTGAATAAGCATCCAAGTATGGTGACTTTGACCAGACTGCATCCATCCTGTTAGTTATTAGCAGCTACTTGCCAAAATGTCCATTCACATATTATTTATAGGACCCAAAGCTTTACTTAAGTATATTTGCACAATTTGTTCTGGTTTATGTATCTGTGGGCCAACAAGAGGCATAGATTTAAAAGAGCTTTTTATATATTTCTCATGAGATACCTTGAAGGTCTGTGAGCTGACATGTTAAAAGATGTAATCACAGTATAATTTGGAGTGACAAGGAATGATGAGGGCAGAGGTAATGATGCTGAAGAAAACAGAACATACAGCTTTAAATGCATTGATCTCTCTTGTTCCTGGAAGATTTTTAAGAGGAGCTAATCTCATCAATCCTCCAAAGACTCGACACGCTTCACTGAGTTTCCACTTGGCTCATGAGAGCTCTGCCAGCAGACTCAGGCTTTTGTGTTGTCATATTTCTAACTCATCAAGGTGACATTCTTAAATGGGATACAACCAGGAAAGATTTCTGAGGGTGGATTATGTTTAGCAAGGTTGTCCTGTAGGTACTGGTGTAATTATTTCTGAATCTGAGCTCTGTAACTTTATTCCTGCTTCATTTAAAAAGGAAGAGATTGGTAATCCTAGCTATTCAGGAGGCTGAGAGCTGAGGACAACTGTTCAAAACAAGGCCAGACAAGAAAGTCTATCAGACTCTTATTAGTTAACCACCAAAAAGTTGGAAGTGGAACTGTGGCTCACATGGCCTTCGACAAACAAGCTAAGGGACAGCTCCTAGGTGCTATGTTCAAACCCTAGTACTAGCACAGAAGGGGAGGGGAAAAGGAGAGGGAAGGAGAAGGAGGAGGAAGAGGAGCCAAGGGAGAGAGAAGATGGTGTTTGGTCTGATATGATTAGCGTTGGCTTCTGTTTCTTTTTCTAAATTTCTCTAAATGTATGAATAGTATATAGGTCTTCCATAGATGAACTATGTAGGGCAAATAAGATGATACATTGGGGATTGGGACTTAAGTTTTTTCTCATCCATTTTATTTGTGTATATTTTCTACCAAGTCTAACATAATCAGTCCAGTGGCACACATGTATGGTTTATAGCTAAGCATGCATGCTCTTAGGCACAAATGATCAAAATTATCTTTTGTCTGGGTGCCAGTAGCTCATGCTGTAATCCTAGCTACTCAGAGGCTGAGACATGGGACATCAGTTCAAAGCCAGCCTGGGCGTAGAGTCTGTGAAACTATTATGTCCAATTAATGACCTAA